GGACCGAACATAAAATAAGGGTCTCTTAATGTCGTAAACATATACATACATACAGCTCAAGGTTCTGGGATTCAAAACTGGAAAAATTTCGTGCACTTCAAAAATTTCAGACCCAGATTCATCCAAGTTGATCAGCCAACGTTGAATTTTGATAAAAAATAATTCATGGTTGTGAGATACTAACACAGAAATAATTTGTGGCCGTAAGGAACTTGCACGAATTTAGTTTGTGCCAGGTTTTTGGCTGGCACAAAAACTTTTTGTGGTGGAGCTAAACTCACTGAGGGCCACAAACCACCACAAAAATGCGTACACACCTACAGCAACACTATATCTCCCTAGAATCACCAACCATCACCAAATACATGTTTTTTTTACCAACAAACAGGAAAAAAACCAATTCACTACGCAGCATATGCATATCTTTGATAAAAAGATCAAAAGGGTTTTGTCAAACTGGCTTCATGCGTGTGTACCTTCCATTGTCATCTATCTGTGCCGACATAACGTATATGGTTCGGTTTTCTCCCTCCATCCCTCTAGTTTTTTTCCCTTCCTCTGGTTTTCTCTCCCTCGCATCCTACGTCCAATTTTCATTCAGTGCCCCCAGGTCCCTTTGATTACAGTGGCGATTGATTTCTTTCTCCCCCCCATCTTCTTAATGAAATACGCATGAAGTCATGTTCTCAAAAAAAATTCTTTCTCCCACGTTAATCATGGTAGTTACAGGGAATCCCCCCAACCCCACCCACCCATCCCATTGACCACGATTGCCGCCTTTATGATCATGGGGATATGATTTCATCTTCCTTCCTCTAATTTTAAGGACATGACTTCTTTGGGTAGACACAGCACTCTTCATGTTGCTATGCAAGGCATAATTTCTAGACCTCAAGCATGACAATTAAATCTCCAGGTGAGTTCCTATGTACTTCTTTTCATGATTATATAAATAGATTGCTACCTAATAATAGTAATAGTAATAGTAATAGTAATAGTAATAGTAATAGTAATAGTATTTAGTAATAGTAATACTATTATCATTATTATTATTATTATTATTGTTGCTATTATTATTATTATTGTAATTATTATTATTATAGAAAATATATATAGGATAAGGAAGTACATGGAAAGAGGCATAGCTTATATGATTTGATCTTCCTTCCTCTAATTTTAAGGACATGACTTCTTTGGGTAGACACAACACTCTTCATGTTGCTATGCAAGGCATAATTTCTAGACCTCAAGCATGACAATTAAATCTCTAGGTGAGTTCCTATGTACTTCTTTTCATGATTATACAAATAGATTGCTACCTAATAGTAATAGTAATAGTAGTAATAGTAATAGTAATAGTAATAGTAATAGTAATAGTAATAGTAATAGCAATAGCAATAATAGCAATAGCAATAGCAATAGCAATAGCAATAGCAATAGCAATAGCAATAATAATAGCAATAGCAATAGCAATAGCAATAGCAATAGCAATAGCAATAGCAATAGTAATAGTAATAGTAATAGTAATAGTAACATTATTATTATTATTATTATTATTATTATTATTATTGTAATTATTATTATTATAGAAAATATATATAGGATAAGGAAGTACATGGAAAGAGGCATAGAGGTGGAAAAGGCCAGCATATATAAACATTGAAGTCAGGATGGAGGCCTAATCTATATCAAGTTCAAATCCACCTTGGGCACCATGAGTAACTCGCACTAAAAGCGATGCTCAATTTGCATACGGATCTCAAAGCTGGAGTTATACTGTACCATAAAGGACCTAGCTAGGTTTGTCATAAGATCTTTTACCTTTAATAACTACCAATAAAGGGGAATAATACAACGAAAAATATTTTCGTAATATATAACTTTTTGCGTTTATATGAAATATTCTGATAGATATAAATTAATGACATAGCTACTTCGACTATGTTAAGCATTCCATGAGCATTAACATCCATCATTTATACATGTGAAATATTCCAAATTGTAAGTTATTCTGACTTTTTTAGGTAGATAATTTTTGCATGCATCTAGATATAGAATATATCTATAATATTAGAAAATCTAGAACGGAGTTGAATTTAGAACAGAGGGAGTAGTAGTTATCTTGATTAAATGAGAAGGTTCTATATATACCAAACACATAGCTTATATTATTCTCAAGACACGAAAACATGCCGACGTTGTTCTCAGTGCAATTATTCAAAGGATCACATACAACTCGGCTAGCTTATTCAACACAACAACCTGCTAGATAACATGCCGATCGATCGAGAACCAGGACACAGCTCGATCGTCGGCTTATATATATTATTATTCCAGGAACGTACGAACACAGCTCACTTCAAGCAGACGGCTTCATGAGCGCGCGGCGACCTTCTGGACAGACGGCCTGGCCATGAGGCCATCCCACCATGCCTTGACGTGCGGGTACGGGTCGAACAGAGAAGCATGGGGCGTCGCGAGCAGGCAAAGCGTGACGGAGACGTGGTTGAGGTCGGCGAGGCTGAGGAAGTCTCCGGCGAGGTACTTGTGCTTGGCCAGGCGCGCCTCGTACACCTCCAGCACCTTCTTCAGCTTCTCCAGGTTCTCCTCCACCACCTTCTGGTCAGTGGTGCCCCCGAACATAGGGCTGACGAGGCACTGGTACAGGATAGGGTTCAGTGCAGCAGTGTACTGGTTGGCCTCCACCTCCAGCCACACGTCCATCATTGCTGACTCCTTGAGGTTGCCTTCCCTCAGCAGGTCAGGCTTGTGCTTGCGGGCAACGTACTTGCAAATTGCACGCGATTCTGGGAAAAATACCATTTTGTTATGCATGGCAGGGATGAAAACTAGTACTACTGTCAAATTTACAAAGAGGTTGTATATATAGGATCTCCGACTCTCCGTCCAAGAGATATGATAGGATCATACGTACGTACCCCATAGGTGGAGATCGCCATCTTGGAAAGCTGGAACTTGACCGAACGGCTGCAGAGATCGAAACACAATATGTCAGGGCTCTTGTGCTCGGCGGTGGCGAAATCGATGGGTACGATCTGGCACTCAGCGCCGGCCTCCTCCAGCGCCACCACGCACCGAGTCACGTTCCACGACACCGTCGCACCGTACAGCTTCATCGGAGACATGAACGACCACCTTATTATTAGCTTTTTCCTCCTCCTCCTCTCTCTCTCTCTCTCTCTCTCTCTCTCTCTCTCTCTCTCTCTCTCTCTCGTCTGTGCTAATAACTAGCTTGTTTTCGCCTCTTGGGATTTCACCCGTTAAATAGAGGAAGGACGAGTCGAGATGCCGCCGGGTTTTTCTTCTAGTAATATGGAGGCTATTTTCATTATTGGTGGTTGGAAGGCCGCCGGCCATCTTTAATTTCGAAACTAGTAATTCTCAAGAGCGGTCCACTGGTTCGAGCATGCTGGAGACACCTCTAGAAAAAGTTCTTAATCAGCAATCGATCTACATCTGGGAAAAAAAAAAGAGAAATAAAAAGGCGTCACTGAGAATCATTTAAGAGGTAGTGAGTGTATCACTCGAATAAGGAGACACATGAGAGCAAGTATAATAGGATGGCTGTAAGCCGTCTGAATGCTAAGGTGGAGGAGAGAGGAGAAGAGAGAAAAGAGAAGTGGGCTGTAAACTTACGGCCTGCTTAGATATAAAAACCGAGAAACTTTATAAGAGAAACAAGTGAGCCATGTATTAATAGTGGAGAGCTAACTACTATATGGGTGGGCTGAGAGAAGGCTGTAAAGATCCTTATAGCCGACCTGCCGACTGTATTATTAGCCTTGCTCTGATAGTACAGGCACATCGACCCAGGGTTTAATACCCGTATGAAAAAAAATCTTGCTCGTAAAAGTGGAGGTAGCCATGCTTAGATATGAAAGTCATTTCCATTTCCTCAAGTCCACGACCCTTGAGGCCTTCTTCTCCCTCGTTTTTCTCCTTTTATATCTCTGTAACCTACGCCTTCCCCTTCATCTGTAAAAGGAAAAGCATGACGCCCCATGAAAGGAAAACCGGTGGTTCGAAACACCGACACTATCAGGCCCACTTTGGCAAGGTAGCCCATCCGGTTCGCACGCCACGCGAGCGTCTGACACACAGGCCGTCAAGCCCATCACCATTTGGAGCATTTGGGCTGTGGGTATCGGTGGGCTTCCTTCCAAAGCGGCTATGAACGTTCCCAGCCGTCCCCCAACATCAACTTGTTACCTCGCCATGGGGCCATATTTCCCCAAAATCAACCACCATTCCGATAAATTCTCTTATGAAGACATACTCCATCAATTCATAAAAAGTGTCGTTCTCACATTTTCAAGAAGTCAAATGTTTTCAACTTTAATCATTTTATATAAAAACAATAATATTTTTGATACATTATTAGTATCATTAGATAGATCATTAAATATATTTTTATAATAAACTTATTTAGAGATGCAAATGTTTCTAATATTTTTCTATAAACCTAGACAAACTTAAAAAACTTTGACCAATACGAATCACGTAACTTTGACCAGCACGAATCACATAACGGCTCTTTTTATGGGACAAAGTGCGTAGTATGTTAGAACATTTTTACCCAAGTATGAAGTGGACAATCCCTTTAATTTAAATCGAACCAATCTATAAGGTATGGCACCATTATTATTTCATATCAAAATAATTTACCACTGTCATCTACATCTACAGTATTACAATAACTCTATTGTACACAGGTGACCCGCGCTTAATTCATGAACGCTACATACGCTCCTTGTAAACTTATATTAGTAATATGTATAATATTCTCGAATAAACGTTAAGAGCTATCTAGCGTGTTTCTGCTGTAATAAAAAATGCAAGGCTTGCTAATAAAATGGTCATCATGCAGTAGCTAAGCACTGACGACTACTGACAGTCTGATGATCAACACTAGTATCTTGTCGGGACAAGCAGGAGCGGCGTTTTCTTGTGGACGGCGATCCCTCCGGCCTCTTCCATGCTCACACGTCCTCCACCCGCACCCCCTCCGGGAGCTCCCAGTCGAAGCAGTAGAGAAGGTTGGCCAGCGTGAACTCCACGGTGGCCACGCCCATGGCCATGCCGGGGCACATCCGGCGGCCAGCGCCGAAGGGGACGAGCTCGAAGTGCGTGCCGTTGAAGTCGACGACGCCGTCGTCCCCGTCGAACCTGCCCGGGTCGAACTCCTCGGGCCTGTCCCCCCAGCTGCGGGGATCCCTGCCGATGGCCCACGCGTTGACCAGTACCCGCGTCTTGGCCGGCACGTCGTACCCGCAGATGCTCACTTGCCGCAGCGTCTCCCTCGGCAGCAGCAGCGGCGCCGCCGGGTGCAGCCGCAGCGTCTCCTTCACCACCGCCTTCAGGTACCTGAGCTTCGCCACGTCGTCGGGGTGCACCCTCTCCCTGCCGCCGCCGTCCACCACGGACCGGACCTCCTCCTGCGCCTTCCTCAGCATCGCCGGCCTCCGGATCAGCTCCGCCATCGCCCACACCATGGTCACCGAGCTCGTGTCCACGCTAGCGGTGAACACGTTCTGCAATTAATATAATAATACAGTGTAACATGCATGCATCAATGGATGATCTGTCGCTGAGTAGTGAGTAGTGTGAGTGTGAACGAACACGACGCGTGGCGTACCGAGAGCAGCCCTTTGATGTGGTCCCTAGTGAAGCGGAGAGAGCCGTCGACCTGTCGCCGTTGGCGGCGCTCCTCCATGAGGTCGACGAAGACGTCGATGAGGTCGGGGCCGTGGCCGCCGGGCGTCGTGGCGCGGGAGGACGGGTCCACCAGGTGCTGGTCGATGATGGTGTCGAAGAAGGCGTCGAGGTCCCTGAACACCCTCTCGCGTCGCGCGGCGGCGCCGGTGAGGCGGTCCACGAGGCGGCCGGCGGCGTTGGGGTAGTAGTCCTCGGCGGAGAAGCCGGCCTTGGCGCTCATGGCTTCGTCCAGCACGTCGTGGAAGTGCTTCTTGTGCGCAAACTGCTCCGTGCCGTAGATGTCCCCGAACGCCACCGTGCCGATGACGCCGTCCATGAGCCCGAAGATGTGGTCCTCCAGCTGCACCGCCTTGCCGCCGGCGCTGCTCAACCTGCCGATCAGCTTGTCCACCTGTCCGCCATTTTATATAGTGAGTGCCCAATGATCACGACGGCAATACATGGACGATGCAGTCACCATCCACTACCCCACATCTGGACATCACTGCCGGTTCAAAAACCCACTTTACTGTCGGATTTTGAACCGACAGTAGCATACCGGCAGCGATGGAGAGTTGACATCACTGCCGGTCCTTAAAAACCGACACTAATCTATAGGAAACAGTGTCGGTTTCTGGCTCCGACCGGCATTGTCCAGTTGAACAATACTGCCGGTTTGTAATGCCAACCGATAGTGACGATTACATCAAGAGTGTCGGTTCTTGGCAAAAGCCAGCAGTGTTTAGCAAGCCTACACTGTCGGTTCATGGATCAAACCGGCAGCGTTGTAGTACCTGGCCTGCTGCTGCTGCTCTCGGTCTTAGGCTCACCGGCTGCCTCATCGGCGACAAAGGAGACCTAGGAGGATCAAGCTCAAGTCTAGCAACAATCTGCTTCAAAGTTCAAGTGTCCTTCCTCCTAGCCTCCCTCTCATTCTGCTTTGCTGACACATTATTTCCTTGCACATCCCAAAGATAGCACTGAACATCTTATGAATAGGAGAAGGAGGACTATGGCGACATGAAGAAGAACGTGAAGGAGCATGTGGTAGAGGGAAGCTCCTCCTGCTCTCGCACCACATGTAGGTGCATCTGCCTCTCTTTCTCACTGCTGCTCCTCCTCCCGGTCCCTCTTTGGAGGTACCCCAATCTCAGGCAAGTCTGCAACAATCTTTAAGGCCTTATGTACCTTGTCATACTCAAAGGTATGCCCTATGACCTGCTCAATCATGTGCATAATGTAGGGAGCAAAACCACAACCCTTGAGGGGCCTCTCTTCGACACTCCTGATCTCGCACCATATGAAGTCAGAGACGTTGAAAGGTCGTGCATCAGGTGTCATCCTGTGGAGCAGGTTTCTGGAGTAATCAGCAATGTTTCCCTTATCTCCACCCTTACAATCAATGGTCTCCCTGAACATCCTATCTAGGTATCTATAAGTAGGGTGAAGACCTAAACCTTCCCCACTGCTCCTCTCTCACCCCTGGTGGGTACATGTAGGCCAGCTGCTCTGGAGGGAGAACCTGCTCTGTATGGATCTTGTCTCTCTGAAGATCCTCCTCTAAAAAACCAAGCAGGGCGGCGAAAGCATCATAGTCAACACTGTACCATTGTCCCTCAAGCATCCAGTGCACGCGCTTCGCATCCTCCTCAACATATAGTGTGGCGTAGAACTGAGCTACCACCTCTGTGTTCTAGTCATGCTAGAACTCCATGATCTCATATACCCCTGTATGCTGGCAAATGGCAATAGCATGATCAATGGAGGCCTTCTGCAACTCTCTGACGTACTTCCAATCTATCCACTGAGATCTGGCTATCACAGGGTTCCTGGTGAGAATAACACTAGAGTAGAAGTCCAAGTGAAAGGCTGTCTAGAAGCGGTGATCAAACTGAATCTTAGGTAAGCCTCTTGGATCTACTCTTCTTTCATCTCTGGCTCTCCTGGTCATGCCCTTTCCACGGTAGTCAACTCTGGAAACATAAGAGGGTACATTAGGCAGACGTGTCTCAAGAAGTACATAATGCATACCCTGACCAGGCTGGTGCTGAAATAGAGGTACTAGCTCCTCCTCCTCAATCTCCTGCTCATTATCTAAGCTGCCACCATCTGAACCTCTGTCGATGCTCTTCCTCTTTCTAGTACTGGGCTCCACTCTATACTCCTCTGTATCAGTATTAGAGGAGGAACTGTTGTCTCCCTCTCTGTACTATGGAGCACCCCTAGTAGCTCTGGAGAGTCCCCTGCTGCTGCCTGCTCCTACTGACTGTATCTGGGATGCATGTCCTGCCTTGCATTCTTGTATTTCTCTAGTGCTGGATCATGCCTATGCTTGGACCTAGGCTCCTATCTTCCACTCATGGTTGTTGCCCTGTATCCAAAGATTTGCAAGGAATATTAGATACATGCCAAACGATAGCTTATTTTAGTTGAAATATAGAAATAAGAATAATTATCCTATGCTTTGCAATCACCTCAACCAAACTAGGTCACAAGGTTCACAAAACACAATAGACAATTAAACTTAGTCATAAGAATCAACCACTGAGAAGATTGAAACAAGGGAGCAAAACCTGCTCTACTGTTCCATATCAGACACGTCCGGAATGAGCAGACAGCAACCCTAACCGGGGTCCTTCGCTCAATCTTCAACCAATCCAATCCAAACTTTGGGCATTGCTTGTAGACAGGTAATGTAGCATCTCTACCGAAGGGATTTCAAAATCATGCCCTAACCGCTTAGATCAGATGAGGTCTAGGATTAGGGTACCTTGAGAGAGTGAATGAAGATGAGATTGGAAATCTAAGTCCTAGAGCCTTCAATCTTGATGCAAATCTCCTCCGATCCAATCTCCCTCTCTTCTTCTTCTCGGTGGAATCACGTGATCGCCAATACGGTGGAACAGCGGTGGCGGCATCGGCTTGGAGGAGAGAAAAGAGAGATAAAGGACCAGGGCTGAAGGGGTACGGGCCTTTTATTGAGCCGCGCATACCGGACACGTACGGTATTTATGGGCTAACTATGTTTGTTCCAAAAATTCATTCTCTTGATTCCAATCCCTTTCTCTATTATTACTCAGTCCAAAAAGTATACAATTCTTGATCCAAACAGAGAATCACCAATATTCTTATCCAATGCCATAATTGCTTTTTTCTTTTCCAAATATTTGGCATAAACATGATTTTGCTAACTGGAGAGAGATATAGTGAGACATAGTAGAATGTGGACTTAAGAGAGCCATGTCATGTGTGATTAGCCAATCAAACAATCAAGGAGAGCTATAATCATCACATGACAAGGCTAGGTCACAAAGACCAAGATTCAAATAGTTTTTCAAATTCACACCACCTACACATGCTAGTTATAGGTTTTGAAAAACATCTCTCCTATGTCACACAAATGCACATTCTAACATATAAAGGGACTTAGATGCACTTACAATGCGTGTATGTAAATACATACCTTTGCCTTCAGCCCACAAGAATTTCACTAAGAAGATACATAGCATGATAATCTTTATGTTGACCTTAATTGCCAAATAATCATGCAAGATACGAAATCAATTTTTCATCCAAAGGACTACAAAGAATGCTAGGTAAATTTGTTACTCCACAAGGTGCAAAATAGAAACCTGAGCTCCCCTAAATAAGTGCTTTAAGTAATTTGAATGACTTTCAACTAGCACTTTATTCTATTAAGAATTTGGGAGTCAATTTTCTATTTTGAACCACAACCAAATAATAATTGCCATATTTAAATTTGAGTTCAAGAGATGCTCACAATCCACTTAGATTTGGTAAACCACAGGCTTTTGAGTAAATTAAGGATATATGAAAATATATGGATCAAAGACTCAGTTGCAAGTCAATTAGTGTTTTGGTTCCTACAATACCGGACACGTCCGGTAGGTATACCGGACACGTCTGAGTACGCAGAATAGAAACATTTTTCTCTGTCCTGGCCATACCGGGACACATCCGGTAGGTGCAAGACGAAGCAATTAATCCGCTGCTTGTGATTCCTCGTTTAGCTTTAGTATTTATTGTACACCTGCATCTCAACAAATAAATTGCTCTACTAGAGAGCTATTAAAAGCACCACATGGCAAACATGATAAATTTCAAGTGAAATTAATTAGCCACTTTCAATATTTCACAAATATACCTATTTGTGACCCATTGAGCACAAAACATATAAAGTGGCTATCCTATAAGGTTTTAGGTACTTGTTATCAATGGTGAGGATGAAGTAGATGATATATTCATTAAATTATCTTTGGGTCAACCATATAGGAGATTATAATAAGAATTGGTTGATAGATTGAGTGAATATTTTCAATTTGCTGGCTCAACCATCCCGAGGCCTTCATCTCATCACCAAGTACCCACATCATTAACCTAAGCACACTTTGGTACCCAACTCTTATTGGGTCCTTTTGAGTTAGTCAACAAGTGCTTAGGCACCCAAATGGCTTTAGCACTAGTTTGTGGTGAACACATCACCTTGCTAGTGGTAACTCCATTTGTGGTCTTCCTAAGCATATCATTATAAACAAATGTGTTCGGCTTAGGAGCGTTACCATTTGGGCATTCATAGCTTAGATGCCCCTTTCTTCTACACGCATAGCATATGCGTCCTTTGTTTGCTCTATGCTTGTTTTGCTTGTATGGACATCTATCAACCTTGTGGCCCATCTCATTGCATCCATAGCATCTTCTTGTTGCAACTTGGGCTTCCTTTCTTGCCTCTTTGTACATTGGGCATTTCTTGGTAGGATGCCCCAATTTCTTGCTCATAAGACAAGCACTTTGTCCATCACTTTTCTTTTGGTTGGCCAACTTGTTTGAGGCCTTTTGTTCGGCCACTTCACACTTGTCAGTCCAACTCTTATGTGGACACATTGCCCACTCATGTCCATATAATCCACAACCATAGCATAACCTTTTTCCATGTTTCTTGCTCTTGGTTGTGTTGGCCTTGCTTGAAATGTGATTCTTTTGTTGGGCTTTGGAGGAAGCAAGGTTTGAACCCTTCTCAAGCTTCTTCACCATGTTATCACGGTTATCTTGAGAAGGTTGTGCTTTCTCCTTACCCTTCAACCGAATCACATCTTTCTTTAATTTTTTCATCTCTTCTTTGAGCTCTATGTTTTCTATAAGATTTAGCTCAATCGAAGATTGGCTTGCTTGAGGAGCACACTCATTAGTACAAGAAATATTTAATTGAGATGGTGTACTAGTGAGTGAATGTGTAAGAGGTTGAGATAATTTTACTGATGTGATCACAACCTCATGAGCTACCTCAAGCATGATGCTTGATTCTACTACTTCCTCATG